GGGATGGGGCAAGCCCTGCACCATCCCCAGGGTGGGAGCCATGCGAAACGGGGCCGCGTCCGGCAACACCTAGAAAAGCGGGTGAAATCGTGGGGTTTGCTCCCACCGGCACTGGGGCCGGCCTGGCCTCGCCGCCCAGGGCAGGACCCCGAAGCCTGGGGCTGACAGTGAAGCGCCCCGGCTTGGCATCCTCTCTCCCTCTCCCTTCCTCTCCTTCCTGTCCTATTCCTCTAGCAGACAGGACGCACTGTCCCTTGGGGGACTTCTGTCCCCTCCTGCCAGCATGGCTCCGGTAGGGCCAGTGGCGGAGTGAGGGGGTTGGCGGCGATGCCGGACCCTGCCGTCCCACGGGTGATGGTGATGCCAGACCCTGCCGTCCCACGGGTGACAGCGATGCCAGACACTGCCACCCCACGGTGCTCAATTTTGCTCTCCACCAGTGGAAGGCTGTGACCAGGGACCCGTTTTGTGCCAGGGCTGGTGCCTGGCTGCCTCCGGGCAGGGGGAAGCACCCGAGGCTGGGCAGGAGCGATGGCACACAGGGTGGCACCCGCAGTCCCGGCACCGGGACACGGCAGTGCGGTGCGCTCGGCCGAAACCAGAGCCAGCCCACCCCACGCTGGGTTAAAGGGTGTTTCCCGGCCACAGACATGTCCTCAACACCCATCAGGGCTTTGCAGCACGTCCCTTGGGTCCCTGCTGGGACCCCGCCAGTCTGCCGGGCACAGCTTGGCCGGGGGCACACGGCCCCGGGATGCGGACAGGGATCAGGACAGGGGTGGGGATGGGTTCACCCTGCGGCAGCCGCTGCCCACTGGGACCAAGCAGCAACCCGTGGTGCCCTGGGAGCAGCTTGGGGTCCGGCTGCCGTAACCTGTGCCCATGTCCCGTGCCTGGTGGTGACGCTGGCCCCTCCGTCCCCGTGCAGCCCCCCCAGAGCTGCAGGAGAAGACGCTGGTGCTGGTGAAGCCGGACGCGGTGCAGCGGCGGCTGGTGGGGAACGTCATCCAGCGCTTCGAGCGGCGCGGCTTCAAGCTGGTGGCCATGAAGCTGCTCCAGGTACCCATCCCCACTGAGCTGCCACCCATCCACCCGGGGGACCCTGCTCCCTGCACCTCACAGCCGGCTCAGGGGGGTGCCGGGAGGGGCGTGTCAGCAGGGAGCACCGGCCAGGTGTCCCCATCGTCACCCCACGCTGCCATCAGGCGGACCAGGGTCTCCTGGACAAGCACTACCAGCAGCTGCGGCAGAAGCCCTTCTACCCTGCGCTCCTCGCCTACATGACCTCAGGGCCGCTGGTGGCCATGGTGAGGGGCTGGGACGGGGGGTTTGGGGGTCCTGGGGCGGTCCGGGGGACTCAGGCGTCCCCTGTCCCGCAGGTGTGGGAGGGCTACAACGTGGTCAGGTCCACGCGGGCCATGGTGGGGGACACCGACTCGGCGGGGG